CTGTAGGGTCTTCCGGCGTGCGATATTCTCCACCCCGTCACCCCCACCAGACCCGACGTTGCAGACTCGAAGGGGGGGCGCCCAGCCTCACCCCACACCCACTTGCTCCTGGCCCGTTCCCAGCCTGGCTTGGCCCTGTCCCGGCTCCCTCCCGTCTGAAGACGGTCCTCAGGGGGTCTCTCGAGCCCCCAAGAAGCTCAAGATGGGCTGCAATATCGTCCAAGAAGGCTTCTGAGATGCCCACGGTCGGTTGAGAGTGTAGAAACATGTACACACACGCACGCAAGCATAAATGTAATCACGCACGCACACACAGAGGTACGCACACACAAGCAGGTGTGCATTTACATGGAACAGTATATATATACATCAATAAATATCCGCCGGCCCCCTTGTGGGGCCACCAGGCTGTAGGCCCGTGATTCGCAGTTTCCTGTACCAGTTGTAGCTTGTAGTTTCCAGTGTTACAGTTCTGCTTCTTGCTGGTTACTGTAACTAGTTGATTGACCGCGCGAGGGGGGGGGAGGCCCAAACGGGATTTTTAGCGTCTCCTGGGCGCGTTGTCTGAATTGCTGGGGGGGCTCGAAATCGACACCCCTCACGCAGATCCGCGGGGTCAGGGTCCAAAAACACATGGGATTTGCCACATTTCTGAAATTCGGTGCCACCCCTCACGCAGATCCGCGGGGTCAGGGTCCAAAAACACAGGGGATTTGCCACATTTCTGAAATTCGGTGCCACCCCTCACGCAGATCCGCGGGGTCAGGGTCCAAAAACACAGGGGATTTGCCACATTTCTGAAATTCGGTGCCACCCCTCACGCAGATCCGCGGGGTCAGGGTCCAAAAACACATGGGATTTGCCACATTTCTGAAATTCGGTGCCACCCCTCACGCAGATCCGCGGGGTCAGGGTCCAAAAACACATGGGATTTGCAACATTTCTGAAATTCGGTGCCACCCCTCACGCAGATCCGCGGGGTCAGGGTCCAAAAACACATGGGATTTGCCACATTTCTGAAATTCGGTGCCACCCCTCACGCAGATCCGCGGGGTCAGGGTCCAAAAACACATGGGATTTGCCACATTTCTGAAATTCGGTGCCACCCCTCACGCAGATCCGCGGGGTCAGGGTCCAAAAACACAAGGGATTTGCCACATTTCTGAAATTCGGTGCCACCCCTCACGCAGATCCGCGGGGTCAGGGTCCAAAAACACATGGGATTTGCCACATTTCTGAAATTCGGTGCCACCCCTCACGCAGATCCGCGGGGTCAGGGTCCAAAAACACAGGGGATTTGCCACATTTCTGAAATTCGGTGCCACCCTTCACGCACATCCATCGCAAGGCGTGGTAACCCAAACTGCGAGAACTCCCTCGGCCCTTTAATCGCAAGGTGTGGTAACCAAGCCCGTAAACCATACACGTCTTACCAATCGCCAGGTGTGGTAACCCCTCTTGTGATCAGTTGGTTTTGCTGATTGCGAATCGGCTTCGCATGAAGTTTCGATACTGCTTCACGACAGCGCCAAGGCCTCATGACTTAGCTCTTCCATGGCCCATTCTCCGAGAGAGGGGGCCGGCGGCAGGGGGCGAAGCCCTTACGGTGTATATATATATATATAGAGAGAGAGAGAGAGAGGTTGGGGGGTGAGTCCGACGTGAAACGGAGACGCCCCTACCGGGAAATCGATTTCGGCTTCAGGTTCGTATCGTGCGTGCCGTGCGCGCGTGCGAGCGAGGCGAAGCTGCGTGGGCGGGCAAGAGGAAATCCTCCTGTGGCTGGGCTGCGGCCGGACCAAATGTTTCTCCTCCGGCGGCCGGTGGCCCGCGGTACCCCGCCGGTGTCCCGCTGGTGTCCCGAGATCCTCCTGTGGCTGGGCCGCGGCTGGACCAACTGTTGCTCCTCCAGCTGCCGGTGGCCCGCGGTGTCCCGAAATCCCTGTGGCTGGGCCGCGGCCAGACCGAATGATTCTCCTCCAGCGGCCGGTGGCGCGCGGTGCCCCGCCGGTGTCCTGCTGGTGTTCCGAAATCCTCCTGCGGCTGGGCCGCAGCCAGACCAAACGATGCTCCTCCCGTCAAACGGTGGCCCGCGGTGTCCCGCTGGTGTCCCGCCGGTGCCCCGCTGGTGTCCCGCCTGGTGTCCCGCCTGGTGTCCCGCCGGTCCCGCTGGTGTCCCGCGGGGACAGCGCTTCACGACAATGTCGAGCGCGACTCGCCAACATCGCCACATCACATCACGCTCACGTGCACAGAAACACTACTCACTAGACTTCGCCCCACAGGCATCGTCAGAACAACAATCAACACTTTTGCCCATTGTTGCCCCCCCAACCTCCTTATCACCCGCAGGGTGGTCGTATAGGTACATGTATAATTAATTGCTCGACGCGGTGATCCCCAGATGTGCATCTCATGTGCTGACACATCCCGCTGGAAGTGACTGAGTGTGAGAGTCTTGGTCTGCTACATCGCGATAACCATGGGGCCCTGAGAGCAAAACAGTCGAAGGTGCAAAACGAGCGCCTCGTTCGGAACGTCGCCAAGATCTGGCCTCGAACGAGCGAATGTCATACCCCCTCGGCGATTCCCCCTCGGGGTGCTACTACAAAACAAACGCAGAAGTCGAGACTTCCTCACAACCCGGCCTGAAAGCAAAGCAATCGCCGACGACAGGCGAGCGCCTCGCTCGAGACATCTCACACAACTTGGCCTCGAGTGGGCGAACGTCCCACCCCTGACGGCTCTCGCGCCGGGTGCTGCAACAAGCGCCTCGCTCGAGACATCCTCGCAATCTGCTCCGACAGCGAAGCGGTAGTCGAGGCCAAACGAGCGCCTCTCTCGAGACATCCTCACAGCCTGGCCTCGATCGGGCGAGCGTGCGAGTTTCCTACCTCCTGGCGGCTCCCCCATTGAAGCGGTGAGTCTGAATGTGAGTGGGTACGAGTGGGAGTGAGCATGATTGCGATGGGTCTGAGTGTCACTGTGTCTGTGCGTGAGTGAGCCTGAGTGCGAGTGGGTCTGATTATGACTGGCCTGTGTGACCATGGTCTGCGTGAGTGGGTCTGACTGTGACTGAACGTGAGTGCTGATTTGTCTGAGTGCGAATGAATCCGAACGTGGTGAAGTCTCAGTGCGCTTGAGTCTGAGTATGAGTGAATACGAGTATGAGCGCGTCTGAGTGTGCGTGGGCCCCCTACGGATGAATGAGTCTGGATGAGGAGGACGTAGGAGCCCGAGTTGAGGCTGAGTGAGGAAGGGAGGAGGCGGGAACGGAGGAAGAAGGAGGCGGGGGCAGCACACGAGCAACAAGAGCCTCAAACTTTCGGGTATGAGGACCACGAGGACGGAGGAGGCGGGAGGGCGGGAGGCGGGGGCGTCACACGAACATCGACCCGTGCCGAGTGATCGGGCGGCTCTTCCGGGCTTCCGCCCGAGAGCCCGCCCCTGGGCGCTTCGTGGGCGCTTCGTGCGCCGGCTGGACTGTTTGAAGGCTTCCACGCGGTGCCCGCCCATGCGGGCGAAGCCCAGCCCTGGCCGGGCGTTCTGGTTCTCCTCCTCCCTCCCTCCCTCCCTCCCTCCCCCTCCACCCTTCCCCCCCTCCCTCCCCTCCCTCCCCCTCCCTCCCTCCCCCCCCTCCTCCCCCTCCCCCCTCCCCCTCCCCTCCCCTCACCCTCTCCTTCCTCCCTCCCCTCCCCCCCCCCCTCACCGCCTACGCACCCCCCAGAGGCCGGGCTTCCGCCCGCGGCACCACGCCCCGTGGGCGCCTCCGGGGCCCCGGCCAAGGGCCTCCCGGCTCCGCGCGCGGCGCCCGCACCGAGGGGAGGCGCCTCGCCGGTGCCTCGCAGTGTTACGGCCCAGTGAAGCGACCGGCGTGCTGACCCCCCCCCCTTCGCGAGAGGAGGTGCGTCGCGCATTCGTCGCCCGTTGCGCCGCCCGTGCGTCGGCCGCCGAAAAGGCCAGCCGCCCTCTCGAACGTGCACGTCGCCCTCGCAAGAGGCAGCGTGCGCGCGGGTCCTCCCGCCGTCTTCGCCACGAGGGTCCCGCCCGCGTGCGGCGTGTCCCGGGCGCCCCGCCTGCGCTCTGGCTGCGCGACCGCCGTGGCGTCACGGCGGCTCTCCTTGCAAGATGACGGGCCCGCTTTCCACACCACGACCACCATAGGGAGGAGGAGGAGGAGGAGGAGGAGGAGGAGGAGGAGGACCTCCTCATCCTCCCTGCTCGCCCGTGCTACATGCGGCAGCGGTGGTGGAACAGTGGCCCATCGCAGACGAGTCCTCGGACCCATCGCCGCCCCCGAGCCCGAACTGTACCCCCCCTTTCTGTTTTGCAACGAACAAGCGTGTCTGGCTCATCGCTCCTTTCCCTTATGACATCGTCACAGCTCCGGGCGAGCCAATATCGACGCGCCCCCCGCCATCCGGGTCGAACGGCGACCCCTCGATCTGTTTTAGCCGACCCAGACTTCCAGAAAAGGCAAGAGTCCGGAATCGGCACAAGCGACACTCAAAACCCCTCCAGGAAACCCGGATGGGCGCTGGGAGAAACCCGGAAATATAGAAAAGGCAAAACCCAGAATCGGCACAGGCGAAACCCAAAACCCCTCCAGGAAACCCGGAACCTCCTCCAGGCGAAACCTGGACCCCTGGAAAAACGAAACTAGAACCCCCTCCCAAACGCAGAGCTCCAAGCCTTACCGCCCTGACACTGGTAGCCGCCCCTCCCTGCTCGACAGGTCGTCGCCACGACAAGACCCGCCTGCTCTTTGCAGCATGGCTCCCGAGAACACATTGGACACCGCCGCGGTCACAGCTGTCCTTGCTATCTCGCAGACAACTTCCTGTTTGAGGAAATTGTTCCGCACTCTCCTCTGAACGCTAGAACCCGAACCACTCCCAGCAAAGCCCCCCTATCGGAATCATCCTGAAATCCGCAGATCCGGGGGGGGGGGAAAAAAAAAACAAACAAACAAACAAAAAAAAAAAAAACGGCACATGTCC